ACAACGTTCACTCCTCACACTCGGTTTTCTAGTTCACCGAAAACTTCACAACACACTCGGTTTTCTAGCTCACCGAAAACCTACAACACTCACAATGTAACAAATATGAATTTGTTCTCTACAATAGATGAGAACACAATTAAGCACAACTCAATGTTACAATCTCTCACAACCCTAATATACTATGTATGTAAATACAATAAGCTCAAGTGGGTGTGTGTAACAATGAGATATAAATGAAAACTTAACTCAATAAGAACTAGCAATAATATTGATATGAAATACAATAGTAGAAATGCTAGCAAATAGAGTTAAGGAAACTTCTCTAAAAACACAAAGAGAGGATGATGAAATGTTGAAGATGAACTCTTCAATAGCTGATGAAAACTCCTCTTTGTAACAGCAAACCCAAAACAAACTTAAAAAACCGAAACACTCAAATGCTTAAAAGCTTCTTAAAACAAACTTGAACAAACACTAAACAAGTTTAAACCCTTGTTAAACTATTTTAAAACATTCTCTTAGATATTTTAAAACTGAGGTATAAGGGGGTATTTATAGCCTCCCAATACCTCAAACAAAAGCCCAAACCAAAAGACCAAAAACCCCTCCAACGGATACAAAAAAATAGCCGTTATGGGCATTCTGGGAGCTGGGCGGTCGACCGACCTTTTTTCGGTCGACCGCTCGCATTGTACAAGCCTGAAAAAGTTCCAGAGACATTTCCGGTAGACCGGTCCGGTCGAGTGGAGTTACTGTAGCAGTGCGCAGCTGTTTTGTAAAATCAATTTAAAATAGTAAATGAACTCCAAAAATTATGAAATTTTGTGGGAATGTTTTAGACATGTAGAATAACATGTCAGAGAAAGAATTTCGGAAAAAGATTTTCCCAGTTGAGAGAAATAAATATTTGAATACAAATTTACAGTTTCTGAAAAACTGTTAACATATCGATTTTGTAAAATCAATTAGGCACAGTAAATCAACTCCAAAAATAGTAAAATTTTGTGGGAAGTTTCTAAATATGTAGATAAACATGTTAGAGAAAGAATTTTTCAAATATCACTTTTCATTTGTGAAAACTCATCAGTTTTGTAAAACATGCACGAACATGTGCACGAACGAAAACGTGAATTTGTAAATTCCTTTAAACATAACAAATCAATTCCAAACTTGATGAAACTTTGAGAAATATTTGCAAATGATATTTTGAACATGTTACAAAAAGAATTTTCCAATTTGCATTTCTCAATTGTGAAATCTCATTATTTTGCAAAAGTATTCAAAACATGAAAAACCCAAAACCATGCATGTATATATATAACTGTATATATACATAGAAACCAAATACGTGTGTGTATATTATATTGAGCTTAGAGTACTTAACACACATAATATAAAACCTAAACTAAATTACCCAAGCAATGATCTTGATCTTCAATAAGCTTGACTTGGTAATCTCGCGGATGAAGCTTGAACTTGGATCTTGAACTTTGAATAGCAAGGCTTCACCGACATTCCGCCAACCTCCTTTTGATATGATCTTGTAGGCTTAATCCATCCAACCTCCAACAATATTGTTTGTCTACAATAAATACGAAAACACAAATACTAGACAAACAACATTAGTGGTAAATTGTTTGTTAAACATCATCAAAACAAGAAGGCCAACATACAGTACCCCCCCCTCCAAAGTGTTTCAACCTCATGCTTTTATAGAGGAGTCTGAATTACTTTGGATATGATAAACCCCAACCTTCAATTGGTATCAAAGGACCTACAACTGGTTTTAGTTCTTGAATTCTCAACATTTTAGTCTATTCAGTATTTTGTCGAATAGGTAAAATTCTTCTGGTGTTGTGTTTATCGTCTGACCGTTATTGAAGTCTCGAATCGAAATTGGTAAGTTGATTTTGGCTTGTGTCATTGAGTTGACTTTGAACTACTACGCCGTAACGTGTTGACCGACATTGACCTAGGGCTATGCATTGACTGGCGTTAACCTTAGAGTTTCATACCGATCAGCATCAACTCTCATCACAACATGTTGACCGGGGTAGACCTAGGGCTACGCATTTGTTAGCCCTTATGTTTTGATGATGTTCTTACAACCACCATTATCGGTACTAATGGCTTATTGAGTGTAAATGTAGTAAATTCATTTATCAAGCTCGTTAGTGCCATAAATGGAGGATGGATGGAATATATGCTACAAAGATAATATCCAAAGGAGGAGGAGGCCAAGAGATGAAGCAACGTTATTTCAAGAACGACAAATTCGATCAAAAGCTTCATCCGATTCAAGCTATATCAAAGCTCAAGTATATTGCTCTCTATATGAGGATATTAGCTTTCTTTTGTTTTCCTCTCTAGTGCTAAAATGTAGGCAAAGAGTTACTGAGTTTACTTGAAGCTATTGGGAATCACACACACGTTTTTAGACTTGTGCTTTTAAGCGTTTTTCACAAAATACTATTTTTCACAAGTTTGAGTACCTATCTGCAAAATTCTTTTTCCAAGCAGTTTGTTTTTAGTATTAAAAACATTTTACAAAGTTTCAGAATTTTCAGAGGTCAAATAAATATTTTTACAAATATTTCAGTCTAGTCAAAAACCTGTTTTCTGTAATATATCAGAAAGCGGTCGACCGGTCCGGTCGACCGCTCCCAAGACCATTCCTTACTATTTTCCAGAGAGGTCGTCGGTCGATCGGTACGGTCGACCGAAATCTCGACTTTCAAATCGGTCGACCGCGCCGGTCGACCGACAATGACTCTGCTTGTTTTCCTAGTTTTCAAGAGTGTTAGCGGTCGACCGAAATTTTCGGTCGGTCGACCGAAGCATTTTTTCGGTCGACTGAAATTCCCTTCGGTCAACCGATTTGTGTCTTTGGTCAGCCGCGACTTTTTTAAACGGTCGGTTTTTGCCTCGTTCGCTGTGCTTTCACTTAATAGTGTTTGGCACAGTCGGAGCTGAGAGTCTGAAAAGAAGATTATCTTCCTAAATAGGAAGATTGGGTTTTTGTTTTTAATTAGTTTAAACTCTTTTATAAAACCCCCCCAGACTTCTTCTTCTTCCTCAGCCCTAACGTTTGCAAAAAACAGAGAGAGCTTTCTGTTTCCTGAGAAAAATTTTCAAAGCATGTTTTCTCTCTGTTTTAAGTGTGATTCACTTCCCAGCTTCAGTAAACCTACTCTTTGCTATAGGGGCTGTGTAAAGAGAGATTCTTGCATCTTTTCTTCTGCTGTGTGAGTGAGATCTGTGTAGATCAACTGTGAGGGAGTGTGGAGATCGCTGTGTAGATGAAGTTTCGGCTTCCAAACCGGGTGTGTAGTGGATTTCTCCTCGAGAGTGGGGAGCGGGGACGTAGGACAGAGGGCCGAACCTCGTTAACACATCGCGCGTCAAGGATAACGATTCCTAACCCTCTCTTATTTACTTTGCTTGCATCAGTTTACTGTGGATTGCTTGTCATTTGTTTTTATTGCATATTAGAGCCTCTTGACCCTAATCACCCCCCCTCTAGGGTCCAACATTTGGTATCAGAGCTTGGTCTCTATATCAGTTTTTGGTTTAACAACCTTAGAGAAAAGATCTAATGGAGGCCTCTTTGAATATGCATATGCTAGAAGGACAATCCACAACTAGACCACCTCTCTTCACCGGCACTAATTTTGCTTATTGGAAAGCTAGGATGAGAATTTACCTTCGTTGCATAGACCTTGACATTCTAGAGCTCATAGAAGAGAAATATGTAGAGAAGTCCAAAGTTGAGAACATGTCCGATGATGAAAGGCACCTTGCCAATCTCAATGCTAAGGCCATGAATACCTTAATATGTGGTCTTTCCCCCAACGAATACAATAGGGTTTCCACGTGTGCAACCGCATACGAAATTTGACAAAAATTATGTGTCACACATGAA